GAGTGCTCTCGCGAAAATCTGATCTAAGCGGTATTATCGTTAATTACTACCGCGTCGAATCGATATTTCAATGAGTATCAATTTACGTCGGATATTTAGAGGCGCGTCTAATGTACCGAGCGGTCGTTACGCGATTCTATTTAACGTGGATAGATTGCGGTGCGCGCTCGCACGCACGCGGTGTGTTTTATCGATGCTCGTCGTATTCTCTTCTCTCTCTCTCTCTCTCTCTCTCTGTCGGTTGAACGTCCTTGGGAGAATATAACCATTAGTCACGCTATAATAAATGCTATCAATCAATCCAATCAGCCTATTCCAGTCTGTATTATTTCGCTATCTTTTTATCTACCTGACCGATCGCATTGACTTCCTCGCGTGCCCGTGGCAATGTCGATTTCGCATTCCCTGATCGGAATATAATGACTGTAACAAACTGTCGAGTGAAGCGGCTGTTTTATCGCCGCGGTACGTAATCGTATCGATCCCGGGATAAGTGTGTAACATGCTTAAGGATACTCGACATTCCCCATTTGTCGTGACACGTGCGATGTAAAATCGCACCTATATTACCCAGTTTTGTTATGAACGACTCGAATTATTTCAGATCGATCGTAACACGTGTAATAGAACGTGGTATGAGAGATAAAATGTTGCGCTATTATCGTACTGTTCAGCGATTATATCAGAATATTGATTTAATTTTGAATTACCGTGAATTATTATCGAGCATCTCTTGATCGATATATATATATATATATATATATATATATATATATATGCAATATTTACGTTACATATATATCGTTTGCTTGACCGACAACCGCGCTCTCGTATCATTTTTCCAACTACTTTCTTGGCGCAGCGACAGAAACGAATCGATTTCAGCGCGCGAGTGCCCGTCTAGAATTCGCCGCACTTTTCCGCGGCTTTCCCAACAACACGGTGGAAAACACGCGTCGACATATTCGCGAAACATGCACGGGCAGGTGCGGCGACAATGGAAATCGGTGAGCGCAGCTGCGCTTAATGAGTGATGGATCGCGGTATGCGCTTTACAACGCCTCCGCGTCAGTCGCGCAATTGCTCGTACTCGTGCCAGATTTCACACCTGTTCGACGCTTTCAGTCAAACGCTCCTTAACCCTTTGTCCCGCTTAAACTAGCCGCGAGACCGAATTTTACGGATGTTTTACCTCATAGTCGAATGTTCGCGATTCACGCCGATATACGTTATCAAAGTAAGATTCGTGACTAGTATAAATGTTCATATACGTGATCAAAATTAGATTAATATTCGCTAAGGTATATTGCAGTTATACATATATATTAAACTTGCGCACACCACATTTTGATATAAACGATGTTTACAACGCCTTGGATAAATTTTACCAAGTTTCTCAATCGTCTTTTCTTCCCGAGTCGAGATTTTGGTTCTACGTTTATCAATCAAACTTGAAGAACCAATGCAAAATCTCGAGGTATGGTTAAACAGGCTTCGTTGTCTTTGATGTTATAAATGGTTACTTACTATTATTTATTTTCTTCATGTTGAAATCTGAAGAGACGGATTTACTCAAGAATAGTTTAAGTCAATACTTGATTATTTTTACATTCTATTGTTATTTTTAATTTTAACAAGTAATATATTAATTGTAACTTTCTTAATTGCAGAATATATAAAATAAGCAAATATTAAATAATTAATAGAGGCAAATAGTGGGATTACTGGATAAATAAAATAAACTCTTTTATTCCTAGTTCTGTCACTTTTTTCATTGACGTTGGAAACATTTCGTAGGATTTATAAATTTCATAAAGTTGACAAGAAAAAATAAGAGCAAAAATCAGTTATGTTTGTACAACAGAGAATTTAAATTCGACTTCGGGATAACAATAACAATACTGTTATAAAAGTTGTTAAAAATAATTGCGTTTCTGATAATAAATTTAAGAATTTTATATTAGAATTGATTACCTTTCATAATTTTCATATTAGTGTTATTATTTAGTAGTAGTTATTATTAGTAGTATTATTATATATTATATAATAATTATGATGTTTCATATATACTATAAAATCAAAGAACAAATTTAATAGTTTCTCGTTTTATATTATATTATAATTAACCGTTTAATTTTCATATTCAGTTATGATACATTATAACACGTTATGATATATTAGAGTTGTTCTAACATTTAATAATACACAGTATATGTATTATTAAATATTAATACATGTATGATACAGGATTTAACGATATAAACCGTTAGTTGTGAATATTAATGAAATACATCAGTTATAATGTACTTCACTGATGTCGACTCACTAAATTTCATATTTTAAATAATTACAACATCATTACGAAAAATGGATTCAGAATGTCTTTACATAACTATGCGTTATCAAGTGTAATATCAATTTGGTTATTAATTATCATAATTTGGTTATGTAAAAAAACTTTATAACTAGATTACAAAATTTTTCTAGTGAAGGCTAAACAAAAATGACAAGAAGACCTTGGTAAATTTAAGATGGTAACTTGCTACTCTTGCTATTCAAAGAGCATTTCTAAGCGCACAAGTCAACACTTGTGGAATTTACACCGAATTTAAAAATTGGTATTNAATAATTACAACATCATTACGAAAAATGGATTCAGAATGTCTTTACATAACTATGCGTTATCAAGTGTAATATCAATTTGGTTATTAATTATCATAATTTGGTTATGTAAAAAAACTTTATAACTAGATTACAAAATTTTTCTAGTGAAGGCTAAACAAAAATGACAAGAAGACCTTGGTAAATTTAAGATGGTAACTTGCTACTCTTGCTATTCAAAGAGCATTTCTAAGCGCACAAGTCAACACTTGTGGAATTTACACCGAATTTAAAAATTGGTATTCATAACTGTAAATTA